GGCGTGGCCTTCTCGCCGGCGCAGCGAGACACGAGCGCGGGCTGGGACCGGCAGCGGTCCCTGGCCACGCGCAGCGGGGCCTTCCCCGCCGGCGTGCCGGCGGGCATGGCCACGTGCAGCGGGTCCTTCCCCGCGGCGGGCGGCGGCGCCACCGCAACGTTCCAGGCGGCGTGGGAGGAGGAGGAGGAGGAGGAGGAGGAGGAGGAGGAGGAGGAGGAGGAGGAGGAGGAGGAGGAGGAGGAGGAGGAGGGGGACATGCCCGACCTAATGGAAGGTCCCGTTGGTGTTTCTTGCGGTCTTCACGGGGGCTGTCGTGTGCCAGTTGAGCCAGTGTTGGGCCATCAAGGCGGCCCTGGTGGCTTTCCGGGGCCGTCTCCGAAGGCTTGGGGAGCTCGTGGACAGCCCCGGGGAAGCTCCAGGCGGCCAATGCAGTCTGTAGAGGGCAGGAGTGGAAGGGCAGGAGTGGATCGAGGAAGGGCGGGGAGCCTTAGGAAGCTACAGAAGCCCAACCAGACAGCACTTGGCACCACTCCTCAACGCCATGGGGCGCGAATGCGTGCAAAGGCTTGCTCACACGACCATGCTTCACATGCTTCTTGTACGTGAAGCAGACACTACAACATTACAACACCTTGCGCGAGGAGACCTCGACATAGGCTGTACAATGTCCAACATGTTTACGGATGTATCTCACCAGTCAGCGGCCTCCACGACGAGCAGATTGTTGTTGCTGGCGTGTTTGTTTCAGCTATTCAACGTCATCGAGCAAATATTGTCAGCGATTCAGCGCGCTCAGTGAAGCATCGGCGGATGGCAGGGCACGGACACGTAGACAGGCACCATGGAGCATGCGCGGTGGTAGCGGCAAGATGAAGTATCTGTATTGGGCCTCCTTCTCCTTCTACCTTCTTCTTATCCTCGTGCTCCTCCTCCTCCTCCTCCTTTTTGTGCCGCCGCAAGCGGCAGCGCCAGTGGCCAGGCAGGAGACAGTGGTCCCAGTGACCCAGCCGGGGCGGGGGGGCATCCACGAGGGCCGCACTGTGTCGAACGGGGTTCGCCTTTTCCCTCGATGGCGTAGCCCCTGCATCCTCTCCTCCTGCAGGGCGATAGCATCGTGCGATCTATCGTTCCCGCCTGGTTGCCTTTCTCCGCCTCCTCGTCTTCCCCTCCATCGAACTGCCCGTCGCCGTCGCTTTCAAGGTCGCGTCGCTGCAAGCGTCTCGTCGTCGCGTCCTGTCGCTCTCGCCGTCGCCGCCGCCTCCGCCGCCATCGCCGCCGTCGTCGCGCCGTCGCGCGCAAGGCAAGCCCATGCAGCCAAGACGCTGCAATGAGGACCACTTTAAGCTTAAAAGGGGCTCCGGTCCGCAGGCCGCTCCACGGATCAAGCAGTGGCGAAGCGGCTGGCTCGCCTATAGCCCTACCAAACAATGTTCTAAGATCTTTTTGTGGTTTCCACGAAATGTTCTTTGAACATTTCTGGCGGAGTCTGTCTTGTTTTATCACATCGGGTTCTTGTTCTAAGAACATTGTTTGTGATCTTAGAACATTTGTGGGGTCTAAGAACATTTCGTGGTAGGACAATAGGAATGCCGGGACGGTCGGCCCCTGCTCAAACGGATCTCGGTCCAGGTCGGGGAATGTGTTCTTGGCCGAGGCCCGCTCTGGCCAGAACAGCGCTCAGGAGGGACAACAACACACAGACACAATGAATCCTCGATTCCCCAGAAAATATGGGAAAGTATGGGAAGTGGGGGGGAAGACAAAAACCCAGAACATATATGGGAAAATATGGGCAATCCTTTTATTTGTGTGTATTTATTTGTGTGTCCCAGGGCCCCTTCAAACGCAGTCGTTCCTTCTGCAGCGCCCCCTGTGGTAGCACGAGGGCTGCAGTCCTGCCTTGCCCTCCCAGAGAGGGGGCACCCCTGCGCGGGACGGCAGTCCTGGCAGGGGCACAGAGCTCCCCAGGAGCTCGGGAGCCCGTGGTCACAGACCCAGACGTCCAGCCGCTCCAAGTTTTTCAATGCCTGGGCCCAAGAGGTCCAGACCACTTCCCTGGGGCCGGCGTTCGTCCTGAATGGCTTGTTGGCGCCCCCGAAGCCTGGCAAGGGCCCCCAGAGGCCGAAGCTCCCATGATGATGATGATGATGATGATGATGATGATGATGATGATGATGATGATGATGATGATGATGATGATGATGATGATGATGGTGTCAATGATGACGATGGCGATGATCATGATGATGGTGATCCTGGGCGCTCGGCACAAGGCTGACTCGAGAGATCTCGATGCTCGTGGCTATACAACTTGCCAGCAGGCGCTCGGCACAAGAATGACTCGAGAGACCTCGAGGCTCGTTGCTATACAACTTGCCAGCATGCGCTCGGCACATGACTGACTCGAGAAACCTCGAGGCTCAGCGTTTATGATGCTGTTGCCAGTCAACATGAGATGATAGGAATTTCGGTTCGCAACTTCCCCCGTGGATTATAAAGTTCGGCCTCCGCGCCCTTCTCCACAATTAAATCCTGTTGGACGGGGGTAACACAGATAGAAGGCCTTAAGGGGTGGTATATCATTATCGCCCGCACTCGATTATGGTTTGGCTGTTGCTTGTTATTCTTTGGGCGTGCCCGAATCTAATCTACTTTGTCCGCCTTCCTACGTCATGTTTCTGCCTACTTCTTCCGACAGGCGTGTAGTTCTTTACGCAGCGTTCTGTGTGATAGTACGATGACTGCTGGGATCTCGGCCTCTCCCCCAGGTTTTTCATCGTCGTCTTTGGTCGCCCTGGCCTGGGAGACGCCCCCCAGACGCCGAACATTTTCAGCAATTATCCGTTGCGAGTTTTGTTGGTAGCGCCCGGATATGAGGTGAGGGGTCCCGAGGGAAACGGATCCTAGACTGTGGGGCGTCTCCCACGACCATTAATTCACAAGGCGTTTCTTTCATTGTCCCGAGGCCACTGGAGTGCCCCTGGCATCGCGAAGCGGTGAATCACTTTCACGACCCCTTTCCTCCAGAACCCGTTTCCTTCATGGTGGTTCTCATCAGGTTCTTCTTTCAGTTCACCAGCACCAGAGGATCTATCAGTCGTATCCCCTTGGGCAGCTGGCACATTGATCACTTCACGCGTGCAAGGTGACTTCGGCCGAGTGTTGCGCTGAGGGCCCTCCTTCCGATGCCATAAGTTCTTACGTTCTGGATTTGTTTGGTGATGTGGGCAATTGGGAATGTTGCTACATTGTTTTAATCATTGGTCGTTCAGTGATTGATCGAATGCCAAGGAGCGGCTTCCGCAAGCCGAACATCTGGAAACAAAAGCCGTCGTTGTCGCATGTCATGCGACGCCCGGAGCTGAATGGGGAAGGGGGGGTAGAACCCAAAACAACAGCCAAGTATCCTCATTCGAGCGATCCCCATGCAAGAACGCGAGGCGGGAGATCCACAGAGCAGTCGACCCTGGACGAAGGTACAAAGCGGGACGCTCCGGGAGCAGCAGCGCACTTTGGGGCTTTGCGGCCGCGGCGTGTGCAGGGATGTGCGAGGCTGGTCTGGAGCTAGCTCCTCCGGGTCGAAGGACCCCGGCCTCTCAGAAACCCCGACGTCATGCCTTGGTCACTGCGGGGTCCGTGGAGGTCTCGGCCCCTTCCCGCGGAGAAGTTTGTTTCTCATCCGAGGAGGAGGAGGAGGAGGAGGAGGAGCAGGAGCAGGAGGAGGAGGAGGAGGAGGAGGAAGACGAGGGCGAGGACGAGGACGAGTAGGAGAAGGATGAGGAGGAGGAGGGGGAGGAGAAGGAGGAGGGGGACGAGGACCAGTAGGATGGGGACGAGGGAGGAGAAGGAGGAGGGGGACGAGGGAGGAGGAGGAGAAGGATGAGGAGGAGGAGTAGGAGGAGGAGGAGCAGGAGGAGGAGGAGAAGGAGGAGGAGGAGGAGGAAGGAGGTGAAAGTGGAGGAGGAGGAGGCAGGAGGAGAAAGACGAGGAGGAGGAAGGAGGAGGAGGAGGAAGAGGAGGAGGAGAAGGAGGAGGTGGAGGAGAAGGAGGACGACGACGGCTGGTCACCCCGAGAAAGCGTGGGATGCCGCGCAGCGGGCCGCGAGCAGCCGAAACGCCGCCCCCCCCCGCAGCACCCGGCGGCGCAGCTCGGCTTCGGCGCCGCGGCCGGGGCGCTGCCGACGCACCGCCCGTCGCCCGCCCGCCCCGCGCGCGGCGGGCCACGAGGGGTCAGTATCGTCTGACCTTATGTCGGGCGTGTCCTCCTACAGGGGGATTTTCGACGACAAATAAAACATACCACCAAAAATACCCCCAAAAGGTTTAAAAGTATGCAAAAAATAGTCCCCAGATTATGTTTGGACTATTTTTGGATTATTGTTGCAGTATTTTTTATTTTTCGTCGAAAATCCCCCTGTAGGGGGACACGCCCGACTTCACCCATGAGGGGTCAGTATCGTCCAACCGATCCCTATCCCCATCCCCATCTACAGCTCCAGCCCCACAGTCTCACCACCTCAGTCGGGGATGGGCGCCTCGATGCCCCGAAGAGAGCAGCCTGCATCCCCTATCAGGGGGGGGGTCAATGGGCCAGAGGGGCCCAGCCCGCTATGGTGGGGATGGGGATCAGTGAAACGATGCTCAGAGGGAGGCTCGGACGGGGCTAGGACGACGACGCTGCTCAGAGGCAGAGACGGACAGTGCCCCAGACATGATCGCGTCGTAACAAAAATCAGGACGGCAAGTTTTTCCATACTTCCGGCCCTTGGGTGCCCTCGTCGGGCCCCGGGACCGTCAAAGAACAGCGCAGGATGAAAAACCGGCCCCGCGCAAAGGGTCCGCTTTTCCGGGGGCGCCGTCCTGAACAAATCAGGCTAGGACGAGGATAATCCGTTCCAGAGCGTTCCGGAACGCGCTCAGAGCGTGCCAGAACGCTCTGGGAAGCCCGCGGCGCCCGAGGCATCTTCCAGAGCCGCCAGATCTCAGAGATTATCGATCTACCCCTCATCCGAATTGACCCTCGTCCTGGCTTCGTGTTAGGGGGGGGGGCCCAGAGCTCCACCTCCTCCAACAAAATCACGGCGCGCGGTCAGGAGCATTGGCGCAGTGTTTCGCTTCGCCGGTGCTGGTGCACCGCGCTGCAGGGCAGCATGCCCTCCACGCTGCGGCTCCCGAGCGCCAGCGTCCCGAGCCCTCCCCAGCCTCTCGCCCAGCGGAGCGGAGCGATACTCAAACTGTCGGCTCGCAGGGCGCTTCGCGTCGCCAGAGCCGCCGCCGCGACACGCCGCGCAGAAGCCCCCGACGGTACACCCAGACCTCCGGCGATGCGAGTTTCTCAGTCGGATCGTGCTCCTTCGACTTCAGCCTCTGGTCAGAGAAGGAAAAGGTACCCGTACATCTACCCCTCTCTCGTGTTCTTTTTTTGTGGGCCTCTTGGGAGGTCTTCGTCGCCACCGCTGGATTCGCCTCGACATCTTGGTCAGAACGCACCCCAGGAGAGGTCCGGAGAGTAGCGGTATCGGTACCTTTTGGTTTCCCCATCTGGGGCCCCTTGGCGGGCCCTGGGGCCACCAGAAAGGGACCCAGGACGACAGACTGCCCCTGAGGAGCGGGTCGCGAGCTCGGGGGCCAAGCCAGCCAACGTCTGAAATGGTATCGTCTGTTCTCGTTGTCTGTGCTCGCAGGTATTTTCTTGCATTCTGGACAGTTCGCCTCTCGTTTGCCCCGGATCGCCGCACGCTGGGGCAGACTGCCTCTGCCTCGCCGCCGACAGGGGGGGAAGGGGACGAGACCTCGAGGGGAGCCACGGTGTGAAACAGAAACGCTACGGCGGGTGTCTGGCGGCCCAGACGTGAAGATGGCGACGTTTTTCGGAAGGTTTCGTTGGAGGTTGAAGGTTCGTCTGCCGAGAGCGTTCTGGGACTGCCCGAATCGTCCGGGACAGCCGCGGGAGGGCCGAATCATGGACCAAGAGCCGGACATTCAACGTTGTGAACAATTCGCACGACGTTTGCTCCTCGTTTTAGGGGTGGCTTTCGGCAACGGGGCGCATGGTCATGCCTCACGCTCTTGTGGCTAGGTTTCGACTGTAGCGTTGCTGTGGAAGTACAGTTGTGACCTCTAAGTAGATATCGTCGCTTCCTGATTGTCCGTCTTGGACTCCTGTCTCGCCGTCCTCCATTTTGGTGTAGGTTCGAGCCTTGTCGACGCGACGGGGCGACCCTGCCGCTGTCAGTTTTGAACGCGGCCAGTGGCCCAGAATCATCCAACGTGGAACGATCTGGCGATCGAAAAGCTGCCGATCGTTCACGATTGAATGATCCAGGGCTGGACCCAAACGCTGTTTTGCTGGACTTCCCAGCTGTGTTTCGTTCTTCGTTTTGGCAGGGAGGCACGGGAAAACAGGTGGAGCAAAACGATACAGAAAACGAACATAAAACAAAACACAACGTTTAGGTCCAGCCCTGGAATGATCCACGCGGTGTCAGCGCCGAAGTCGTCACAGCACGAACCTGCCATACGTACCCCCCGGTGAGCGGGCTCGCGGGGGCGCCGGGGGGGTGCTGGGAGAACCCCGTGAAGCGAGAAATCGCTAACATGGATTCGTGTTACGTCGGGCCTGTCCCTGTACAGGAGGACATTTCAAGTTAGTCAATCAATAGACGATGTTTGTCCTGTTTGGGACCATTTTGGATTATTTTTGTCAACTTTCAATATTTCCTCCAAGATCCGCCTGTAGAAAGAAGGACATGACCGACCTAGATCCGCGCGCGTGGATTATCGACTGTTCCCATGTCCTGAATTGCAGAATCGGCGGGCCCCGGCGCCAAATCGGGCGGCCATGGCTGCTGCATGTTCGGGGGGTATATATTTTCTCCGACTCGTGGATCTTGGCGCCCCTGCGCCAGATCCCCATAATGTGTGTCATGAGTGCGCCAAAGTGGAGGACCCTTGGACGCAACGGGAGTTCCTCTGGCGCAGTGGTCTATCGAGCTGGACATTCCGTCGCCATCTGCAGAGCGGCCCTTCCGGAATGGCAGGAAGTTCCGAGACGATTGTTCTCCCCTTCGTCCACTTTCTCCTCCTCTTCCTGCAGCCTTGTTTTGTATGGGCGCTGTTGAAGGTACGAGGTCTTGCTTGGACGCCGGTACGACGTCGCTCCGCTGGACCTCCCAGGAGCCCACGAAAGAGGTGATAGCTTTGGGGGAGCAAGGTCTAGCTAGGGATCTTTCAGTCCTGCGCTCCGCTGGACCTCCCACGAGCCCCAGAACCTGGCGACAGTTGCGCAGCTGTAAGCCCCCAGGGAGGCGAAGTCTAGTTATGCTCTTCAGCGCCACACCCCGCTGGATTCCCAGGAGCGCACGGACAGGACTGTCCCAAGGGAGGTGTGGTGTAGTGTGGGCCCTGTTGGCCCCGCACGGCGCTGAATCTCCCAGGAGCTGCACGATAGTGATGACAGTAAGGCAGTTGACAGCCCCCAAGGGGGCACGGTCTTCTCGGGGCCCTTTTGACCCCGCTCTCCGCTGTACCTCCCAGGAGCCCACGAACCTGGCAATCCCCAGCCAGGCGAGGTCCAGTCAGGGCCTCCTTAGCCCCGCACTTCGCTGGACCCCCCAGGAGCTTTCGAAAGCGGGGCGGTTGCGAAAATGATAGTCCCAAGGGAGGCGAGGTGTAGTTTGGGTCAAGTTAGCCCCGCACTCCGCACGACCCCTCTCAACGACCAGGGAAGCGAGGTACGTGGGCGGTGTCCAAGACACATGTGAGGCATCCAAGCGTAAGGTAGGAGGGAGTATGCATGAGGAGGGAAGAAGGGAGGATATCAGAAGGGAGGAGCCTGGAAAAAACGGCGGAAGCAGGAGAGGATGAGGCAGCAGTGCTTTACCTTTCGCGAGACCACAACGAGCACCACCATGTCGAGACATAGAAGAGGTGACGCGAGGAGAAGGCAGGAGGAGGTAGGAAGCATGAGCAGGACGAGATAAGCACCAGCTTTCTACTCAAAACGAGCACCCGATTCAGAAGGGTCTGGACAAAACACATGCAAGGACTCTCGAATGCGAGCACTTTCCTGGAGAAGCAGGTGCCTCCTGTCAAGCCAGCTCGAGGTCCTGTCGGCAGGACAGTGCCTCTCTGGGTCCAGAGCCCTCCCAGCCGCGCCCAGGTCGGGAGTGTGCTCTGCCGTGGAGCTTGCTGGCGTCGCCGGGGCCAGCGGCCAGCAGAGTCGCTGGCGCATGTCGCCGGGAACCTCTCCCGCCGTGGCACAGGCGCGGGGCGGGCGGAAGCAATCGTTTCCTCTGCTCCGCCTCCTCGAGCTCGTGCGTGCTCCCAAAACTGCCTCGCCTCGGGCGCAGCTCGCGCGCGGCGGAGGGCAGAAGGGGAGAGGGGGGAGACGGCGGCGGCTCCGCCGGCAGCAGGCCGGCCGCAGGCAGGCCGGCGGTGGGCGGCGGAGTCTAAAGAGTGAGCTTTTGGGATGTCTGGGCCCAATTTCGCCGTCGCCGTCGTCGTTGTTGTCGTCGCCGTCGTCGTCGTCGTTTTCGTCGTCGTCGTCGTCGTCGTCGCCGTCGTCGTCGTCGTCGTCGTCGTCGTCGTCGTCGTCGTCGTCGTCTGCGTCGGTCGTCGTCGACCGTTGGCGGCCCACTGGTCGGCGACGATGTCCGGTGTCGGCCAGCTTCGCTGCAGCTTCGGGCCGAGCGGTCGGCTTGTCTGCAGCGTTGTCGGCCGGCGTCGGTCGTGTCGGGCGCAAGGGCCAGGTGCTCGTGCCGGTCGCGCGGCGGGCCGCCCCCGCGGGGCGCCAGCTCTCGCGCGTGTGCCTCGTCGCACGTCGGAGTGGCGTCACCTTGGGCCGCAGGAGCGGCCGGGGAGGAGGGGGAGGAGGAGGAGGGGGAGGAGGAGGAGGATGGGAAGGAGGAGGAGGAGGAGGAGGAGGAGGAGGAGGAGGAGGGGACGGGGGGGAGGGGGAGGAGGAGGGGGAGGGGAAGGGGGAGGGGGAGGAGAAGGAGAGGGGGGGGGAATAGGGCCCCCCCCCTGGCGGCGCTCAGTCGCGGCCCCTGGCGCGGCCCGCGCGCCGTGGAGGGGGGCTCAGCACAGATCCTGGCAATCCCCGCGGACACCTCCTCCTCCTCCTCCTCCCCTCCTGCCCCTCCCCCTTCTCTTCTTCATCCTCCTCCTCCCTCCCTCCCCTCCTCCTCCTCCTCCCCCTCCTCCCCGAGGGCTGAGCGATTCTTTCCTCTAGTCAGGATAGAAGGGGTCTCGGGAGGAGCCCTCGGCTTGGATGCTGCCCGGCCAGCGTGAGATCAGAAGGCGGTTCGAGCTAGAAGTGCCAGACAGGGTGATTGCGGAGGGCAGAGAAGAAGGGAGGGCCAAGGTGAAGATCAGATGCGGGGGAGGGCGAGGAGGAGGAGGAGGAGGAGGAGAAACAGTGCAAGGGTAAGCCCAAGATGCGCTATCAATGCTGCAACACACGCACTTACACACAAACACGGACACACACACAAACACACTCACACACACACACGCACACACACACACACACACGCACGCACACGCACACACGCACACATGTTTTGCGTCGGCGGCTGGGCAGAGGGCGACTGCTCCGGCGGATTGGCAACACAGGACACGCTGTATTCAAGTTAAGGCCGCAATGCACGGAAAACACGCACACACGCGCACACACACACACATTTTCCAGTCCTAAGTCCCCTCGTCAGAAGTCCCTCCAGGTCTTCCTTTCTACGCCCCCTCGAAGGACCAGACCACTGAGGGCCCACCATTCCGGCGAGAGCCCGAAGAGCCTTGTCTCGACAAGGCAGCGTTTTGCATTTGTCAAGGACTGCGAGGGTCTAACTTGGAACATGGATCGACCACCCGCCCCCCCCACACCCCGCCGCGCATTTGCCACACAAAGTTCAAATATCTGGTCCTGTAAGGCGTTTTGAAAAGGGCCTTGCCTTCGAGGATCGAAGGCGTTGCCATCTCCTCCGCGGCGGAAGGCGACGGAAGGTCGGCGGAAGTAGAACGAGGCTGGCTCCGCCGGCGGAAGGCCAGCGGAAGCCGGAGGAAGCAACAAGTTGCCTCCCAAGAGATGAGATCGTTTTTGGGTTCAGGGTTTCAATCAAAGCTTGAATTACCTCCCCCGCTTTCGCTTCCAGGCAAAACCAAGCCATACCACGCGCCTCCTCGTCAAGCGGCCTGACCAGTACAGGCCGCAATTTGGCATCGTTTGGTATCTCTTGGAAGCGAGGGTGGTCAAAAGCGAGGTAGATTTGTTTTCCCCCGATTCAAACGTCGGCCACTTGTGCTGAGGAAGGTTTCACGAGAGCCCCGCGTTGAACAGGAGCCGCCGTCCACTCGTGCGGGCTCCTGGTGCTTCTTCCATCTGGCTGCATCTCAGGAGGGAGCCACATGTCGAAGAGGAGTTGCCCTCCACCCTTGTAGCTGCTGCGGCACATGATAATCAGGAGAGGAAAAACACACACAGACACAATCAATCATCGATTCCTAAGAAAATATGGGAAAATATGGGAAGTGTGGGGGGGGGGGAAGACAGACACCCAGAAGATATGGGAACATATGGGGAACCTTTTTATTTGTGTGTAATTATTTGTGTGTCCTGAGGGCCCTTCATAGAAGCACGTTCGAGACGCCACGGCTCAGGCCCCAGTCAGGAGATGATCCGCCCTGCGTCCGTGTAGCTGCTGCTCTCGGGTGGACACGACCAAATCGCGCGGAAGGAAGGCAAGAGTTTCATTTTGACCAGGAGCCGCGCTCCACCTCCTCCCGCCTCCGCTGGGATTGTTTAGGATTAGTGCTAGCGGCGCTGCTGCCTGAGCTTCATTTTGAGCACGGCCCCTCCCCACCCTCCTAGTTGTTGCAAGCTCCTACTGCGTATGTGTGCGGCGCTGAGCCGAGAGCCTTTTTTTTTCAACAGAAAACAAAAGAACCACCGATGTTCCATGCTCGCAGCTACAGTAGAGTCTAAAGACGAGGGTGTGCAACGCTGAGGCGAGAGCTCCACCTGGAACATGCTCCCTCCCCTCCATTTGGGTAACCGTTATGATCATAAGTGGTGACGACGTCTCACCCGAATTGCATGGCCCGCTCTACCGACACGTCTTGGGGTGCGACAGAGAAGTGTTATCGGTATCACCCCAACATGCTGATACTATGTGTGCGTGGCCCATCCCCCCCCAGGGACGACGCGCGCACCGACAAATCTTGTAGTATATGCGGCGTGGCGGGCGCTTTCTGGCCGCACCCTTCGGGAAACGGTACACTACAATGTGGGTTTGCTACTTGTTCGAGTCGGACGCGCGCTTCCAAGGAGGACATATCGTGTTAGTATGTTTCTGTGCGTCCCATATGCTTTAGCAGGGCAGGGACATGAGAGACGAGCAGGGACCAGAAGTCGGAGGAGCTGGGGGAGGCTGAGGCGTAGGAGGGCAGGGCAGGGAGGAGCGGCCCGGGCGTCGTTCGAGGACCACGCCCCGGGGTCTTTGGCCATTTTCCCCGGGGCCACCAGGAAACCGCGCGGGATGGAGGAGCTGGCCCTGGGGAGGCCGAGACATCCAGGGGCCCGCGTTGTTGGGCAATCGCGGCGACGGAGGTCTCGGGCAGAAGCAGACTGGCGCAGAAAGAAAGACCTGGTCTTCAGTGCGATGGCCATCGCTGCTGTCTGCCGGCGCCGTGGCAAGCTTCTGGTTGACCCCAAAGGGGGTGCAGCTACAAGAGAGTGGTGCGCTAGAACTGGTGCAATCGATCTGGAGCGTGCAATTCATTCTGGGACGCAAATGTATGGTGTACTTTCGCGTGCAATACATTAGCTGCGATACAATGCAAGTCAATTCTCCGGTTCAATACATGTGCAATGCAGTTGCCCCAAATCTATTGCACCACCCCCTTTCAGCTGGACAAAAAGCTGCCCAAACAGGCCTCACCACCATTTCGTAGTCCACACGGAGGTTGGCCGACTGTCTACAGTGCCCACGCAGGACCCCCTTCCCTGACCACCATTCAGGATTACAAATTGGTGGTTCGGGATTCATTGATAGCTCATAGTTTGAGCGTGGTTGTTTACCCTCTCGGTCATACCGCGCGTTATGCCCCTACGCCCCCCCTTCCCCCCCCCCCCCAATAACGTGACGCTCCCCCCCCTTCAGTGCGTCCCTGGCACCGCCGCAGTGCGTCCGGTACCTCAGTCTGGGGGTGGGGGGTGGGCGCTACGTTATGCACCCTCCCGCCCCCCCTCCCATAACGCCGCCCGTTAGGGCCGCGAATCGGAAAATGCGCTCTCTGATGCTTGGATCTATTTTTGCAGCCCCGCCCAGCAACCAAAGCCTCAGCCGCCGAGCAGGGAAACATAAGAAAACGCAAAGACTCGTGAGTGAGGTTTGAGAGCGGGAGCGGCCCGCCGGCAGGCGACCCATGCGTCCGTGGTGCAGCGCGGCGCCTCGGCATCGGTGCTGGCCGGGGCCGCGCTGAAGGCGCACGGAGGGTCTGTGACGACCACAGGCGCCCCGGGAGGCAGTGGGAGGTCTGGAGCTTGGGCAGCACGCAAGCTTTTCGGAAAGGGTCTCGGACAAGTGTTCGGACGCGTCCCAGAAGCCGCGCCTCGTTGGGAGCGTTGCGGGTCATCCCGCGAGGCCGCGGGAGACCCGAGTTGTGACCCGGATGTCATGACCAACTAATTACGCGTAAGAGTGGCACTTCGTCGGAGTGGTTTTGGGAGCGCGGCTTTCTGGGGTGCGAGGGTGGCCAGACCCCAGAAAGCAGGCCGCTACTGTCGCATCATCTGCGGCAAGCCGCGACCGAAGGTCACTCTTGCCTAAGGCCAGTCTTGCGTGTAGCCGAACACCTCGAATTAACAACAAAGGAACACGCGTGCTTTGCAACACGTGCACCAGCTTGGTGATGAGCATCGCTGACTCGTTTGCCTTTTTGTTTCTCTTGGCGAAAGTTGGATACGAGCGGCATCTGGTCCCCTCAGACACAGCAAACATCGGCCTCTCAGGGCCGCCTACCATCCGATTTGATTCGATTCGACTCGAAGCTTGCGACTGCGATCACGATCCGAGCCGATCTGGCTCACTTCACTGGCATCGCCCAGGGTTTGCCAGAGCCAGGCGAGGCGATGAAACGTTTGGATTCGCTTCGGGGCGATCCCCCGGCGATCCAAGCCGTTGCCGATACGAATCGGTGTCGCGACTCGATCCAGCTCAGGCCTGCCGGTTTTTTGGGTAGGGGGCCAAATGCGAACCTTACCCCTACCACTCCACGATTTCACGATTTCTTGGGGGGAGGGTGGGGTTCACTTCGCTCGGAAGCTCCCGAGCGAAGTGAACCCCACCCACCCTCCAAGAAATCTTGGGGGGTAGGGGTAGGGTTCGCATGTTTCCCCCCATTGGGGGGTCGGCGCTGGAGCCTGTTTTCGGCGCCGCGAGGGGAGGCCCCAGGCGCCGCCCCGTGGAGCTCCGCCGCGGACCTCTCGTCCAGAAACGACTCGGGATGAAAAACCGGTCCGGGGGAACGGGTCGGGACTTCCAGGGACCCCGTCGTCTACGGAGAGGGCCCGCGCCTCTGAGAAGCAGCCTCCTCTTAAGAAGCCGTCCCCATCCCCCCTACCCCCGCTTGTGCGCGCCGCCAATCTACACAACACCATTCAGCCAGAGGCCTGGAAGCTTCCAGGGACACTCAACGCGCACACGGCACTGCATTACGAGTGGACCCCAGCGGTGTAGATAAGCGGTTTGGAAACAGCCGGCCTTAGTTGGTGAAACGCACGTCGACTAACCACACCGATCGGGGACTACACCGGTACACTCGAAACCACTGTTGAGATAGCGTGTGCAGGTTATTTCTGTCGACTTGTCTGAGCGGGCATCTTCTCAATGCCCGATACAGTGGATCTCGGTGAGTACGTCGACACCTCCGGATCAATGGCACCCTTGTGCCTTCGGCGTTTCGCTTCCCAGGCCGTCTGCATCCCTGGGGTCCCTGGCGCAGTTTGGCCCTCGGAAGCGTCGTGCGTCGCCAATTATCAAAGTCGGCTGCTGAGTCGTGTGGATATCCGCTTCTTCTCCTCCGCTTGGCATCCGGCAGGGCGTTTGTGTCGGGCCCCGTTTTGACCGCGGGTTCCCATCTGGGAAATTGTTTGCCCGGGCTGTGTTCGGAGCGCTGCATCTGAGGCCTCGAGGTCGGGTCCTCAGTACCTTCGCCCCCCTCTCGCATTACCATCTCCAGAAGAAGCGCCCTCATCCCTGGGGTCATGGGGGGCGCGATGCCTTGGCGATCTTTCTTCAGCACGGTCGCCTGAGACTGCATCCTGAGGCCTGGTGTGTTACCCACGTGATCTCTAGCCACCTTCTGGCGTTCATAGACAGGAGCAGGGATCAGAAACGGACCATCAGGGCTTGGGGTCCGAGCGGCCTTCCCATGTCCTCAGGTGCGTGGCTGAGGAGGGGCTGTGCCACTGTGCAGCTGTCGTCGTATTCCTGTATGGCACGCCCCGCGGCCCATCCGCGACTCGCCCTCCACCCACCTGCGACCGGCCCACCGTGTGTTTTTATTTATGTGTGTGTTTTGTGTGTGTGTTTTCCCACTGTGTGTGTGTGTGTGTTTGTATTTTGTTTTCCCACGTGTTTTTTTTTGTTTTTCCTTTTTTGTATGTTTTTTTTTTTTGTCCCACAGTGTGTGCGTGTGTGTGTGTGTGTGTTTTTCCTACAGACGTCCGACGACGTATTTGGTTCCACTTTGCGGACCCGGAGCTCCCGACCTTTTCCCTGTGGGGCGGCTTAAAGCCAGAGACCCATGTGGATTGCCTCGGCCCAACAGGAACGGCCCCGAGGGGCCGACATCCAGGGAAAACGCCCGGACCGACAAACAACTACATTGAGGAAGCCCATGCCACGAAACACCCCGCTTGCCTCCACGGTGCCCTGGGTCTCTTGGGTCTCGATAGTTCTGACATGGAGCACGTGACGCGTCGCCATCAGAAACCAGCGAACGTGCTGGGCTCCCAGGGCCCCTGGTTTCTTGCAGAAGATTTCTTGTGGTCGAGCTCCCACGGTAGTCAGAATTCCTTGTGATGAGTACAGTGAGCGGTTTGAATAAGGAACACGTACTTTTCAAAAGGGGCTCGGTCGTTCCTTAGATTTGCATGCGTTAGTTATCGTTCCTTATGCGTTAGGTATTATTAAGCGTTCCTTTTGCGTTACCCCCTGGGAAAAAAGGGGCTTCGTTCCTTGTGTATCGTTCCTTAGGTCAGGCCGATGGCTGTATCATATTTTTCTGTCCCTGCGCTCCGTGTTAGACATATCAAAAGGAAGCAGGGCAGCTCCCCTTCCCAGGCGGGCCGTCGCCCGAATGGGCGGGCGGCCGCGGGGCGCTTCTGCGGTGGAGAGGGGCGCGCTTGCTGGGACCTCCGAGGATGATGAGGAGGAGGTTGGTGATGAGGATGAGGATGAGGATGCGATGACGATGACGATGAGGATGAGGATGCTGATGATGCTGATGCTGATGCTGATGCTGGTGCAGATGCGAATGATGATGGTGATGATGATGATGAGGATGAGGATGAGGATGAGGATGAGGATGATGATGAGGATGACGATGATGATGATGATGATGATAATAATGATGATGATGATGGTGATGGTGATGGTGATGGTGATGATGATGATGATCATCATCATCATCAGCATCAATACCACTATCATGATGGTGGTGTTGATGCTGGTGGTCATGGTGATGACGACCATCCTCATGATGCTGACGATCATCATCATCATGATGATGATGATGATGATGATGATGATGATCGTCACCATCACCACCATCATCATCATCATCAGCATCATCATCATCATCATCATCATCATCTTCATCTTCATCTTCATCTTCATCTTCATCATCATCATCATCATCAGCATCAGCGGGGACTCTGCAAGGGATCGGGCACCGCCCCTCGCCCCGCCCAGCCTCGCCGGCGCCCAGCAGCAGCCGCGCGGCGCTGGTCAGCGGCGCTTGCGGCGCGGTGGCCCACGCGGCGTGTGCCTCCTCCTCCTCTGGGCACGGAGGTCCTGATCATGTACCCCTTGCTCGGTGGCAAGTCATGGGAGCCTGGTGTACACACTGCTCGTTTCTAAGTCTTCAAAGGTTCTTCGATGCTTTGGGGGGCTCAGATCCTTTCGTTTCTAATTCTTCGATCCTGGGCCTCTTCCTGGCCACGAGGTGGGCCAGGAAGAGTTAGAAACGAGCAGGATTAGAAATGAGCACGATTAGAAATGAACGACGTGTATATCCTCTTGCATTCTGTCATAAGGGTCCACCAGCGTCGATTAGCGTCTGGGAGTCGCTGAGATAGCGCCGATTTGGCGTCGGCTGGCGTCGACTAGCGTCGACTTAGCGGCGATTAGCGTCGACGTAGCGTCCATCCGCAAGAGCCGACAAGCTGGTATGGGAGGCTCTCATGCGTTGCAAACGGACCCTCAGCTGGGTCACCGGATCCATACAAACCCACTGCCCCTGGCAGGGCCTCTCTTGGGTCCAGGGGCAGTGTCTGTGCCTCCCTGACCAAGCCGGGAGGGCGTCTTCAGCGCTCCCGGTCCCAGGGTTGCTAACGGACCATCCGTTGGGCGACCGGATCTGTACAAACCCGCTGCCCCTGGCAGGGCCTCTCCTGGGTCCAGGGGCAGTGTCCGTGCCTCCCTGGCCAGGCCGGGAGGGCGTCTGCAGCGCTCCCGGTCCCAGGGTGGGCCTCAGCAGAGGCAGGGGGTACGTGTAGATCTCGTCGCCCTACTCGTGGAGAGCATGAGGACAAGAGGGAGGAGGAGGAGGAGGAGGAGGAGGAGAATGAAGAGGAGGAGGAGGAGGAGGAGGAGCAGGAGGAGGACCTAGTTCCCCTTGCGTCGTGCACGCAATACCGCACAAGGCTGTGGCTGATTCTATGCCTCTGGGGGCCGTTCTGCCGGCCCTGGAGCATTCAAAATAGGTCTCTGGGGGCCCACGTCACGAACAGTTTGCGGCGTGGGAGGAAGGGGAAAAGTGGAGGATCGAACGGAGGGAGAGAGAATGGAGCACAGGAGGGGCAGCATATTAGGGAGAGGGAGGGATGGAAAGCGAAGACCCGTCCCATCCAACCGTTCCTCCCGCCTGCATCCCAGGCCCACGGTGCCTTGGGCCCAGGACTCATGGGCCCAAGATGCAAGAGGCGAATGACGCCTGGGCCCACCGTGCTCTCGTGTGGGACTCGCCTCTTGGGGCGACGCGACGAGCACAGAGACCGAAGACGAGGCGGATGGACGCCGTGCCGACGCACGTCGGAGGGATCAGATCTCAGGCTCCGCCGCGCCTCCCGCGCATGGGCGGCCTCCTGGTCGTGGGCGCGCGCGCGCGCGCGTGTGTGTGTGTGTGTGTGTCTGTGTGTGTGTGTGTGCGTGTGTGTGCGTGTGTGTGTATATGTGTGTGTGTGTGTGCGTGCGTGCGTGCGTGCGTGTGTGCGTGTGTGTGTGTGTGTGTTAATGTGTGCGAATGTGTGTGTGTGTGTGCTTGTGTGCGTGTGTGCGTGTGTGCGTGTGCGTGTGCCGCGCCCACATGCAACACCACACCGCTCACCCTCCGGATCTTCGCCTCCGGCTCCTGTGCACGGCGTTCTTGTTCCTGTGCGAGCTCCTCGGCACCGCCTGCACTCCGGCCCGCCCTCCGCCCGCATGAGGCCCCGCCCGCCTGTGCCCTATCTCCCTACTTAGAGCTGTGCGTGGCCCGCCTAGCTTTTACCGGATGAGGTTCGCTCTCGCCCCGCAGACCGAAAAAGTGGGCCGCGCCCACGAAACTTGCTGTTCCCCTGCAGAAGACTATGGGCGGGGGGACGTCGTAGCCACAGAAAAGGAGGGGGCTCCCCAGGTTTTTGGTCGGCCACAGGTTGCATCCTTCGAGGGGGGGTTCCAGCCACGCCTGGGTATTCACGTATCCCCTCTGTGGTGCAGTTCGGAGTTAGGGGTGGCCTTCTCTTTCAAGGGAAAGGGTCGCGGTTAGAAAACTCAATATTTTGAAACCCGTAACGTCGCGGACAAGGAAACGGGAGACGAGATGGACGGGGTAGCAGAAAGGCCTTTGGGGATTTCGTGGGAGTCCAGCGTCTCTCCCTGGACAGGGAGGAGGTTTGCTGTTCGAAAGGAGGGAGGGAGACAAATGCTGTAGGCTTGACATTGTATTAGGAGATTGTCCAGGGGTATCTAGCGGTGTCTGGGGAGGAGGAGGAGGCAAAGGCGCACAGATTTAGCGGGGGGCGCGTGAGGTTTTAGGAGGGCCCATGGTTCTCGTGGGGAGTCGAGAGGGGAGGGGGAAGCAGGAGGAGGAAGAGAAGGACGAGGAGGAAGAGGAGGAGGATAATCGACTGTCATCGCAGGGGGATCTGAATGGCAGAGCGATGTACGCATCCAAATATTTCGTCCGATGGCAGCGCGGTGGCTTTTCTTCCCGCCAATACCCTCAGCATTATCAATGTCATGTTCGTTTGCCTCGTTCTCATGATCATGGTGGCCGTCTCTTTCCTGTTCATACACAAATGATTGCTGCTGTTCCTGCTCCTATTCCATCTCGTCGTCCTATCCGTCCTTCTCCATCTGCCAGTTTGTCTCGTCATCCCCGTCGTCCTCGTTATCCCGCTCAATCTTCAATTTCCATGTAACCCACCCCTCCTAAGCCCTCTTCTTCTTCTCGCCCCGTTGACAGACGCATAGGCTTGGATGCACCACTCCACAAGAAGTGGCTGTACTCAGGTGTTCTCACTTGGCTTTTGAATAGTTGCCTTGGTCTTCGGGGTTTTCGCCTTGGGGGGCATCCTCCGCCCCCGGCTCGGACATCCGACGATGGGTATGTGTCCAGTGCGCGCACCAAGAGGTCCCAACCTTTTCAACGGGGGAATGTTTACGATCTGGAATCATTCTTCATGGCCCCAAGGCTCAACGAAGGGCCCCACATGCCGAAATTAAAGAACAGCCATCGAGTCCCCAGCCCCTCGACGACATGTCTTACCCACAACCTCGACCCCCCAGAGGTCTGGATCCATTATTGGGACCCTCTTGCCCATCTCGAGTCGTTGCTTGAGGGGCCCGGCGCCCGGTGAGGACCCCCAGAAATTAAACAAACGAATCATCGCCTTCGCGATTTTCTCCATGGCGCGAAAGGACCCTTGGCAGAAATAGAAAACATCTCGTCAAACAACGATAACGAGAACAACGATCACAACGATGACAACGATATCGGTGTGATCGTTATCGTTACTGGTGTGATCGTTGTGTTCGTTGTGATCGTCATTGTTGCTGATGTTGTTGTTGTTGCTGGTGTTGTCGTGGGTTTGGTGATTATCGTGGTTGTTGTTGTTGTTGTTGTCTTTGTTGCTGCTGCTGTTGTTGTTCTCGTTGTGGTTGCTGTTGCCGTCATCGATGCTATCGTTATTTTCGGTTTGATAGTTGTAGTCGTCATTATTTGTTATCGTTGTCATCCCGTCGTGATCTGGGGCCCCGCGGCTCCTGGTGTCTGTTATCCTGTCGTGATTTGTCATCATGTCGTGATCCTGGCACTTGCTATCATTGTTCTCCTGTCGTGATGTGCTATCTTTGTTATCCTGCCGTTATCCTGAGCGCCCAGGCGGACCTGCTGGCCAGCCGCGCCCTGTCCGGCGGCTCCTCGGCCACGACGCTGCCGCCGGGGGTGGCGCCGCCGCGCCGCGGGGCCCCCGCGGCGTTTTGCGCGCTCTCGCACGGCCCTCGAGCGCCGTCGAGGATCGGGCCGTAGAGCTGAGTCGGGCACGTCCCTCTTCTGGAGGAATATTCAAAAATACGTCCCTCTACAGGAGGCGTAGTTATTGAGAAATAACACAAAAAGAATAGTATTAAGGAATAGGAGGAGTAATTCCCGCTACAGGTGATACATATATATATATATATTAAAAAAGCCGTCAAACATACGTGGGGTCGGGCACGTCCCTCTACAGGAGGAACAGCTTTTCAAAAACGGCACAAACATAGTCCGGGGACGATTGTTTGCTGACTGCTCGACTGCTTCTGGTTGTTTTACTACAGCCGAGCATCTGGTCAAGAAACCTCCTCTCCAAAAGCTGGTCCAGCGTTTCTGAACCAACTTGCTGGGCAGCTGGCCCAGTTTTGTGAGCGCGTACGCCCTCCAGCGTTCACACGAGCACCTGGCCCACGTCTGTTTCAAGAGACATCTGGGAAGCTGGCCCCAGTTTCTTAAAGGATCATGCTCTTGATCAGATTGCCGGCTGTATTTTCCAAGCTTCTTACAACATCCGGCAGTAGGAGGACATGCCCGACCTAAGCCTGGAGGATTACCAGACCCCCTCGCGTCGTGACAAGAACCGCGACGGACGGGTTCTGTAGCTGAGTGAGGGGCCGAGCGACCCTTCGTTGCTCCTGGGTGCGTGGCAGGAGCGGCGCTCCGTGCAGAAGACTCTGCTCGTAGTGATGCTAATGCTGCGCTGTCGTCGTCCCCGCCCGCGACCCGCCCGATCCCTATCCCCAATGGGCCTGATTTCCACGACAACCACCATAAGTTGGAGGGGGGAGGGGGTCCTCCTCCCCCTCTTCTTCTTCTTCTTCCTCCTCCTCATGCTCAACCTCCTACCTCCTCCAACTTCTGGTGGTGGTGGTGGAAAGCAAGCCCATCATATCCCCAATGGGCCATCATATCCCCCATGGGCCAGTTGGGGCACAGCCCCCTCGGAACCCGAGGGGGACAGCCTGTATCCGCATCTGGGGGGAGACCTTACCTCGGCCAGTGGGGCCCAGGCCACGCCAGGGGGGATAGGGATCGGTCAAGCGAGGCTCACGCGACGCACCCGCGGCCACCCCGGCGACCCGCCCCCTGGCCCTCCTTGGGCGTCGCGTAGTGGGGACATCGTAAATGGGGGGGGGGCGAGGACGGGCCGCAGAGGTATACCCAAACGGCACCTGACCGAGCCCCCTGGGGCTCCGGAGGGGCCCGAAGGGGGCAGGAAGGAGGGCCGTTCCTGACCCCCCCACCTATAGACCCCCACTGTAAGCCACGCCCAGCCTCCTCCGCCCTTTCCGGGGGGTGCTGCGTAGTCTTAAGTCGGGCCTGTCCCCCTACAGGGGGATTTTCGACGAAAAATAAAACATACACTAAGAATAGAAAAATATTATAAAAATAGTCGGGGGACTATTTCTTGCGTATTTTTTGCCTTTTTGGGGCATTTGTGGAATATTCTTTAGGTTTCGTCGAAAATCCCCCTGTAGGGGGACACGCCCGACATAAGGCGTAGTCTCAGTTCCTGCCTCCATGGGGGCCCCCGCCCAGCCCCCCGGAGGCAGGACGCTCGCGAGCAGACGGCGCGAGGCCCGGGGTGGCACGCGCTGGCCCCGGGGCGCGCAGATCGTCGGACGCCGGTTTTTGGCGGGCGCGAACGGTCGATGGGCACTCCAAGTCTCGGGCCGGACGAAAGGGGGGATTGGGAAAGGGAGGGTTCTCTGGCGTTCCTGCTGGCAGCACGGTGCTTCTGCGTGCACACGTCGGTCGCTGAGTGCGGGTACTTTCAGCATCGATTCAACGGCCCCCATCCCCATCCCCATCCCCATCCTCATCCCCTTCGAGACTCGGGCTGGACGAAAGGGGGGGATTGGGAAAGGGAGGGCTACGAAATCTGCTGCGTGCAGCTGGTCTCGGCCCCACCGATCGGGGCCCAGTCCTCGACACATGGCCGCCTCCCGGCGCTGGGAGGCGCCGGGAAAGTCAGCCACGCGAGCTGATTCTGAACCCCCCCTTTTGCTATCCCCCCCTTTCGCCCAGCCCGAAAATCGGTCGCGACGGATCGCGATCAATCCCAGAATCGGTCGCGACCGGTCGCCACCGATCGCGCTCGATCGGGCGCGACCGGCTTTGAAGCAGATCGGTCGCGACCGATGCCGGAGTCTGAAGCGAAATCGGTAGCGAGCGATCTCGTCTGTCGCGACTGGACAATTCCAGCATCACATGATCAGGGCATGGGCGGACATCCGTGGGGGTCGCCGTTGTGGAACAAAGAACAAATGAGGGAACGCATGACGCCAGGGGCTTCGAGCATGGGTTGGTTCGGGGCCTTTGCCTCGAGCGGCGAGGATCGAGGGAGGGGGAGGAAGAGGAGGAGGAGGAGGAGGAGGAGGAGAAGGAGGAGGAGGAGGAGGAGGAGGGGGTGGAGGAAAGGGACAAAGAGGAGGAGGGAGGAAGAGGAGGAGGAGGAGGAGGAGGAAAGGGACAAAGAGGAGGAGGGAGGAGGAGGAGGAGGAGGAGGAGGAGGAGGAGGAGGATTTAGCAGGCTCCTCATCACACGCCTGGATGCTCTTGAGCAAAGCGTAGCGCTTCCCTTTGCCTCCGACGACGTCATCATGGCGACGTGGGCCCCCTGGTTTCCACGACCTCGCCCCAGGAACTGGCGCTTTCCACCCCTGGATCGTCGGGAGACGGCGCCACATGCTGGAAACGTGCAACAATCGTTCATCGGGCGTTTTGTGCTTGCGACGGCCAGAAGAGATGGGCTTATTCGAGCGTCACTGTCCGATTCTCGAGGGTCGAGGTTGTTATTTATCTCGGGGGCCCGTGAACTCGCCCGGGGACTGGCGTTTTTCATCGGGGGGTCGTTGGGAGACGGCGCCGCAGGCCAGAACCGTACACTCGTTCCTCGGACGCTTTTTTGTTGCGACGGTCTGAGGACAGGGTCTCTTCGAGCGTCGATGTCCGATTTTCGAGGGTCGAGGGTGCTAATTCGTTCGAAGGCACATGAACTCGTCCTGGGACTGGCGTTTTCCATCCCGGGTCGTCGGAAGACGGCGCCGTAGGCCGGCAACGTACAATCAACCATCGTTTTTACCTAACAGCGAAGACTGATATGTTTCTAATGGTCTCAAAAGAAAGCATCATGACTCCCCAGGGGGTCTGGGCAGGATCCGGGGAGAATCCGCGGATCCGCCAGTGACTATGGGGAACGCACCACTGAGGCTGAGGCTGAGGCCCCCAGCGCCGCCAGTGACTATGGGGAATGCACCACTGAGGCTGAGGCTGAGGCCCCAAGCGCCGCCAGTGACTATGGGGAACGCACCACTGAGTCTGAGGCTGAGGCCCCCAGCGCCGCCAGTGAGTATGAGGAATCCACCACTGAGGCTGATGCTGAGGCCCCCAGCGCCGCCAGTGACTATGGGGAATCCACAGCTGAGGCTGAGGCTGAGGCTGAGGCAGGCTGAGGCTGAGGCTGAGGCTGAGGCTGAGGCTGAGGCAGGCTCAAGCTGAGGCTGAGGCTGAGGTTGAGGCTGAGGCTGAGGCTGAGGCTGATGCAGGCTGAGGCTGAGGCACGCTGAGGATGAGGCCGAAGCTGAAGGCAGACTGAGGCTCAGGCTGAAGCAGGCTGAGGCTGAGGCTGAGGCAGGCTGAGGCAGGCTGAGGCAGGCTGATGCTGAGGCAGGCTGAGGCTGAGGCTGAGGCTGATGCAGGCTGAGGCTGAGGCAGGCTGAGGCTGAGGCCGAGGCTGAAGGCAGACTGAGGCTGAGGCTGAAGCAGGCTGAGGCTGAGGCTGAGGCAGGCTGAGGCTGAGGCTGAGGCAGGCTGATGCTGAGGCAGGCTGAGGCTGAGGCTGAGGCTGATGCAGGCTGAGGCTGAGGCAGGCTGAGGCTGAGGCCGAGGCTGAAGGCAGACTGAGGCTGAGGCTGAAGCAGGCTGAGGCTGAGGCTGAGGCAGGCTGAGGCTGAGGCTGAGGCAGGCTGATGCTGAGGCAGGCTGAGGCTTAGGCTGAGGCTGATGCAGGCTGAGGCTGCGGCAGGCTGAGGCTGAGGCCGAGGCTGAAGGCAGACTGAGGCTGAGGCTGAAGCAGGCTGAGGCTGAGGCTGAGGCAGGCTGAGGCTGAGGCAGGCTGAGGCTGAGGCAGGCTGAGGCTGAGGCTGAGGCTGAGGCAGGCTGAGGCTGAGGCAGGCTGAGGCTGAGGCCGAGGCTGAAGGCAGACTGAGGCTGAGGCTGAAGCAGGCTGAGGCTGAGGCTGAGGCAGGCTGAGGCTGAGGCTGAGGCAGGCTGATGCTGAGGCAGGCTGAGGCTGAGGCTGAGGCTGATGCAGGCTGAGGCTGAGGCAGGCTGAGGCTGAGGCCGAGGCTGAAGGCAGACTGAGGCTGAGGCTGAAGCAGGCTGAGGCTGAGGCAGAGGCAGGCTGGCTGAGGCTGAGGCAGGCTGAGGCTGAGGCAGGCTGAGGTTGAGGCTGTGAGGCTGTGAGGCTGACTGCCGTTGCCACTGCTGACTGCCTGATCGCGAATGCGACTACGACTGCGAGAACAGCAGAATTCTACAACAGGATTCTCATCTGAATATTAAAGGGAATGCTTCCAGATATGCTCCTACATATCGCTGTTAGGTTGCTTTGCCGGGATAATTTGTTACGACGGCCGGAAGATAGGGTTTCTTCGAAGGTCGATGTCCGATTCGAGGGCCGAGATTGTGATTTCGGGGACGCGTGAACGGGGACGCGTGAACTCGTCCGGGGACTGGCATTTCTTTCCGGGTCGTCGGGAGACGGCGCCGCAGTCTGGAAACGTACATTCGTTCCTCGTACGATTTGTTGTTGCCAGGGTCCCTTCCAGCGTCGATGAGGGTCGAGAGTGCTAATTCGTTCGAAGGCGCGGAAAACTCGTCCTCGGATTGGCTTTTCCATCCCGGGTCGTCGGGAGACGGCGCCGTAGGCCCGAAACGTACAATCAACCATCGTTTTTTTGTTACGACGGCCGGAAGATAGTGTTTCTTCGAAGGTCGATGTCCTCGAATCGGCCATCGAATCGCCCGAGGGCAGGCTTGATCTCCGCAGTTGCGAGGCGCGCACCGCGGCGACGATTGAAGCCTCATTCACCCCAGGCCGTCCCTGGGCGATGGTGGTTGGCTTTGGTCCAAATCGAAACCCCCCTCGCCAGAGGTCTTGCGGGGGCCTTTGCAAACGGCGCAGCTGAAACATCAACCACTGCGCTCCTCGCTCCCCCCGCGGCGGCGGCGTTGGCGTTCCGCGCTCTCCGGAGCACTGGCCGCCGCCGCGGGGGCCTCCGGCCCCAGCCCCATCGGGGAAGTGGGCCGCAGTGGGACTGCGAACCCCGGGGAGAAGAGAGGAGAGGGGAGGGAGAGGGGGAGGAGAAGAGGAGCCAGGAGGAAGGAGGAGGGGATGGGCACAGTCCCCCCGCGGCCTACCCCTCTCCCCCGGGGGGACGCACCCCGGGGCCCTGAAAGAGGGCCCCGCCTCCGCCGGTCCTTGGGTGGGCTGGGCCGCTACTGGTTTTACATCCCGACCTCCAGCCGGCGCCGACCGCTCCGCTGATTCCACCAGCGGGGGGTGCCCGGGCTAACCCTTGGGCCGTTGACGGGGCCCCTGCTATCCAAGCAGGGGGGGCGCAGGGAGGGAGGAGGAGGGGGAGGAGGGAGAGGAGGAGGAGGGAGGAGGAAGGAGGGAGGGAGGGAAGGAGGGAACGCGGGGACCGTCCCTTCAAAACGAGGACCCAACACCACAGGATGGTTGGGAAAACACACACAATCAAACAAACACTCAAAACAACGAGCGCGATTGCGCGGACAGTCGCGTGTAAGCTTCCCGCGCCAGGCCGCGCGTAAGCGCCCTCGCCCCTTCTCCGCGCGGTGTGCCACGCTGGCGGCCCGCGCAAGCCACCGCGACGACCCATTCCCTTCCGTCGCTCATGTGCCTCTAGGGCACGGCGCTCGGCGTGCTGGGTGGGACCTTCGGGCCCGGGCGCCGCAGACGACGCATTTGCCGCTGCTCTCTGTCCCAGCGCCGGCGGCCGCTCGAGGCCGGCTCCTCCTCCTCCTCCTCCTCCTCCTCCTCCTCCTGCTCCTCCTGCTCCTCCTGCTCCTCCTGCTCCTTCTGCTCCTCCTCCTCCTCCTCCTCCTCCTCCTCCTCCTCCTCCTCCTCCTCCTCCTCCTCCTCCTCCTCCTCCTCCGCGACATCCCGTGGCGGGCGTCTCTCTCTCCGCCTCGCCCTCCTCGCCATCTGCGTCCCCCCGCATGCCGCGAGGTGGTGGCCGAGCTCCTGGAGGACGCCGCGGATCGGGCGCCCAGGAGCGGCCTGCCCGCCACTTTGGCCCTGCGCCCGCTCCCCACTTCGCCCCTCCTGCTCTCGGGCAGTGCCTAGGGTCACGAGCTCCTCCTCCTCTTCGTCCTCCTCCTCCTCCTCCTCCTCCTCCTCATCATCATCCCTCCCCTCCTCCTCCCCGCCTCCTCCTCCTCCTCCTCCTCCTCCTCCTCCTTCTCCTCCTCCTCCTCCTCGAGGCGCAAGGCGTGGAGCCTCGAGTCTCGAGGCGCAAGGAGTGGAGCCTCGAGGAGGCTTTGATTGGGCGCCTGGAGCTGCTTCTCCTGCGGGGGGGGGGGGGCTCTGGAGTGCTCTCTCCTGCCCCCCCCCCCCCCTCTGCCCGGATGCAAACAAGGCGGCGGTGCCTCGAAGAAGGGGGGCAGCCTGCCTCGTGGCGCCCCCTCCCCCCTGTCTAGGCCTAAGTCGGGCTTGTCCCTCCACAGGAGGAATGCTCTAGGGTTGAAGTCGGGCTCGTCTAGGTTCCTGCTCCTCTTCTTCCTCCTCCTGCTCCACTTCCTCCTCCTCCTCCTCCTCCTCCTCCTCCTCCTCCTCCTCCTCCTCCTCTTGCTTCTCTTCCTCCTCCTCCTCCTCCTTCTCCTCATCTAGGCTTAATCATCCTCCTGCTTTTCTTCTTCTCCTCCTCCTCCTCCTCCTCCTCCTCCTCCTCCTCATCATCATCATCATCATCAGCATCATCATCATCATCATCATCATCATCATCACCATCACAATCACCATTCATCATCACATCATCATCATCATCATCATCATCATCATCATCATCATCATCATCATCATCATCATCATCATCATCATCATCATCATCATCATCATCATCATCATCATCATTTGCATCATCATTTGCATCATCATCATCATCATCATCATCATCATCATCATCACCACCATCATCATCATCATCATCATCAGCATCATCATCATCATCATCATAATCATCATCATCATGATCATCATCATCATCAGCATCATCACCATCATTTTGTCCCCCCATGTCTAGGCTTAAGCCAGGCCTGACCGTCCACAGGGGGAATCTCCAAATATCGTCAACTAGAAATAGTATGTTGGCGATTGTTCGACCCTATGTGACTATACGTTTTAATATCATTTGACTGCGTGCTGTTTTTATACGAAGATGATTGTTCGATGTCCCATTAAGTTGGCATATGTTCGAGATGTTTCGACTATGCTTTACCTTCCTTCGAAAATCCGCCTGCAGGAGGACATGCCCGACCTAAGTCTAGGCCTCCCAGATGGGCTCCTCAGCGGACGGGGTCGGAGGATCGCGCCGCATCGCCGATGCATCGCTGATGCGGCTCGATCTGTAGCCCGAGGTTCTCCACGCCGACGTCGCCGATGCATCGGCGATGCGGCGTGCTCCCCCGTGTCCGTCTATTCGGACCCCGTCGAGCAGGCCTCAACTTTTGCATTGCCCCATGTTCCTGCGCCCTCTTCTGTTCCCTCTCCTCTCCCCGCCCACCGCTCGTCATGCGTCTGCCTGCTCCTCCTGCCTCGTCTTCTCTCCCTGCTCCTCCTCTCACCTTCCGCATTTTGGCTCGTCGCTCGAAGGTGGTCCGATCATTGTTCTCCCGTTGGCGGCGAAGTCCGAAGCCTACCCTTGCCCATCAGCGATTCAGGCAACTCGACGGTCGGCGGGGGTAGGGTTCGGAATTCGTCCAACACGTACTGAACTCCGGACCCCATCCCGCCTCCCGTCGATTCTCGGGGGTGGACAGAACCCCCAACAGTGACACGTCGATTAGTGAATTGTCCGTTTTTCGGTTCTCGAGAGGGCGCCGTGGCCGTTATTTTCCAGGCTCGCGCCCGCCAGGTTTGGGCCTCAGGTCGTTTTCACTAAACCACGTTTTACGAAAGGGGGGTCTGCCCATCCCCGAGATTCAGGAGAGTTCATGGTTGGTGTTTGCTGGGAGTGCGGAGGTCGCCACCCGTCTTGGGGCAGTTGGCGAATGGCAGGCTGCTCATTTTGCCTGGACGCGTTGGCTCGATCACAGGGGGGGGGGGTTGTGCTCCCCTCCCTGCTCCTCCCCCGCCCTCCCACTGTGCGCCGCGGGGCGGAGGACGAGGAGGACGACGAGGTCGAGGACGAGGACGAGAAGGAGGAGGAGGAGGAGGAGAAGGAGGAGGAGGAGAAGGAGGAGGACAAGGTCGAGGACGAGGACGAGTAGGAGAAGGATGAGGAGGAGGAGGGGGAGGAGGAGGAGGAGGAGGAGGACGAGGACCAGTGTAAACCCAACAGTCATCAAGGATGTTGGAATTCACCCTACTTCCAAGCTCCCTCTTCATAGGCCCCTGCAGTGGTTCATTTCCATTGACGGAACTGCCTCATTGGAAGACAGCCGTTTGAAGACCTTGAAGCCTGCCAAAACATTGTTCTCGGGATTTCCACGCCACGGATCAACCTGACTGCTGCGTCCTGACGATCTGGAATCGTGCCAGAACGCCATTTTGGGACTTCGACACCGCGAATCAACAACACTGTTGCACCCGCATGCTCTTGAATTTCTCTTACTTTTCCTACACACGATTTCTGGTACGCTGATCACGGACATCCATGAAACCCGTGCAAATTTTGAAGACGAGTGTGTCCGGCGCTCAGGCGAGAGCCGCATATTAAAAAGGAGCCGCCCTAAATCCGTGAATCTCTTGCAAGTTTCTCAGACGAATGTGCGCGGCGCGAAGGCGAGAGCCACATTTTGAAAACGATCCGCCCTCAACCCGTGAAGCTCCTGCAATTTTCTTTCAACGAATGTGCGCGGCGCTGCGGCGAGAGTCACATTTTGGAAACGACCCGCTCTGAGTCCGTGAATCTCTTGGTAATGGTCAATACAAATGTGCGCGGCGCTAAGGCGACAGCCACATTTTGATCACGACCCGCCCTCGATCCGTGAAGCTCTTGCAAATTCCTAAATCGACTGCGCGCGGCGCTAAGGCGAGAGCTACATTTTGAAAACGACACGCCCTCCATCTGTGAAACTTACGTTCGTTAAGATTCAGAATCATAAATGGTGAGGAAGTCTTAGGACAAATGCCCGGCCCGTCCTAGAAACTATCGCCGGGGTCTGACAGGGAACAGTTTTTCCCAATCAGAGCTTGCCTCTGTAGGAGTCCTAGCGGATTCATATGGCGAGGTGAGGTTTGCCACCGATTTCCGCGGCCCGCCCGGGTGCCCGGGTGCCCTAGGTGCCCAGTGCCCAGGTGCCCGGGTGCCCGGGTGCCCGGGTGCCGTATAGCCCTATAGCCCTACAGCCCTACAGCCCTATATCCTTATAACCTTATAGCACTATAGCCCCATAGCCCTAGAGCCCAATTGGCCTATAGCCCTATAGTTCTGTAGCCTTATAGCCTGAATACCTCATAACCCTATCGCCCAAGAGCCCTATAGCTCTGTAGCCCTATAGCCCTATAGCTCTATAGCCCTATAGCCAAATAGTCCTATTGCCCTATAGGCACATTGCTTTATAGACCCACGGTCCTACATTTTTATAGCCCTATAGCCCACAGCCCTATAGCCCTACAGCCCTATCGCCGTATAGCCTCATAGCCCTATGGTCTCATGGCCCTATAGTCCCATAGCCCTGTAGACTCATAGCCCTATGTATGGCTCTACAGCACTATAGCCCCAGAGCTCCATAGCCCCGTAGGCCTACAGCCCTACAGCCCCCTTATGTTCCTATAGACCTATAGCCCTATGGACCTATAGCCCTGTAGTTCCATAGCCCTATAGCCCCATAAACCCATCGCCCTATAGCCCAACAGCCCCATACCCCTGTAGCCGTAAAAAAACATTGTTTGGGTTTGTCGTTGGTGCCGTTTAGATGGAAAAGGAATGGAGTAGGAGGAAGAGCAGGGGGAGGAGGAGGAGGAGGAGGAGGAGGAGGAGGAGGAGGAGAAGGAGGAGGAGAAGGAGGAGGAGGGGGCTGTTCCTCCTCCCTCGCGCCCTCCCAGGGCCCAGAGCGCACGCCGCGCCAGCCCGCGTGAGCGCGAGGGCCGTGCTCCACCGCCCCCTCCTCGGCGGCAGCGGCCTCGCCGTGGGGCGCCGCGGGGGGGGCAAGCTCCGTGTCGCCTGGGAGGGCGTGGCGGCGACGTGCTCCGAGCCGGCGCTCGACTCTACGCGTGCGCGTTGCCTTGCCATCTGACTCCTCACGCCGCGGCGCTTGGTGCGCTGAGCTCGTTCAGCGTGCCGAAAGGAGGCGGCCTGTACATACATGTCAAGGATGTCGTTGTCTCGTGCCCTGTGTCCCTCTTGCCTCAGGCCCGTTGTCTGGCCCTCTGGCCGGATCCCTTTGTCTCTCGGGGCACCCATCGGCACAGCCAGCTGTGCAGCAGGTGCTGCAGAGCTGAGCCATGATCGATGAGGGCATGTCCAAGAGCGCCAAGAGGAGGACCCGGAAGAAGGCCAGGGACGCGGCAGCCGGGGAACCCACGAAAGGTGAAGAAGGCCGACCCATCGCCGAAGGCGAAGGCAACTGCCGAACACGCACCACTGGTGGCGGAACCGCAGGCGAATGGCAAGGCGAGGGCCGCGCCGAAGGTCGTCGCAGAGCCCGTGCCCGCCGCGCCGAAGGCCGTCTCGGAGTGGAAGGTGGCGGCCGACACGAAAACGACGAAGGCGGATGGAGGAGGAGAAACCAGCGGCTCTCCCGGCGAAGCCGACCGATTTCAACCACACCCGTGCCGACGGATGTGGAGGTGTCGACCGGCAGGGGCAAGAAGCAGGAGAGGAGACCCAGGGATGCAAACACATTACGACTCGGTCACGTGTGCCAGGGCGTCATGGAGTTGTGCCCTCGGAAGGTGCCTGGGCCCTGGCTGGATTTCTATGCGTTCAAGGAGGCGAGTGCTTATTGTAAGGAGGTTTTAGGCTTTGCAATTCGGGCTTCCACATCCGGCTCGTCTGAGGATGAGTTGTCAGCCGTTGGATCGTATTGCACAGATGCCGGCCATGGCAACACCTCGCTGGTTGCGCCTGGACACTCGGACTCGAGGTTGCTGGATTCATCTTTCAAAGATGCAGTCCGTCGACGGCGCGGATGCGCGTCTCTCCGGAGCGGATATTGGAGAACAAGCGTTGGGAACAGCAGGCCTGGGCGAGCTTGAGGGGTGAGCTCGGCTTCGCAGGGTGGCAGGAGCGAGCGGCGCCCAGCTCACGGCAACGCCGTCTTGGGTATGAGCAGGCAGCCCCGCCGCATGCGGTGCAGCAGGAGCGCGCTCGTCCTCGCAGTCGCCGGCCACGGAAAGCTGGCCCTGGCACGTCCAGCAACGGCAGTGACAGGCCTTGAGCCTTCTTGGCGGTGTGAGGTTCAAGTCGGGCGTGCCCCTTTACAGGAGGAGCATTCAAAAGTAGTTAAAACATAGTCCGGGGACGACTTTTCTCTATCGGTGACTTTTTCTGAAGATGTGCTTGTTTTTTTACGTTCGTCCGAAATCCGTGAGTGCGCGGACACGCCCGACCCAATGTGAGCTGCCGAGCCGAGACGCCCAGCGGGGGCGATCCTGTTCCCTCTCCTCGGTCGTCCTCGTCCTCCCCCCGTCCATCCTTGTCCTCCTCCCCCCCCCCTCCTCCCTCCTCCCCCCTCCTCGTCCTCCCCCCATCCTCGTCCTCCTCCCTCCTCCCCCTCCTCGTCCTCCCCCCCGCCCCCCCCGTACCCGGGCAGGCCCCTCTTCAGGAGGAACACAACCTCCTGGATGAAAAAGTCCGGACCGCAGAGGTCGGGGCAGAGGCTTTGATGCTCGGTTCCTGTTGGGCCACGGGGCCCTGGTACAACCTCCATGGCGAAATTCCCGGTGCATCCTCACCCCCCCATTAATATTTTAATCGCCAAGTGGGGTGACGACCGGAAATTCGCGTCTCGCCCCATACCTCCACCAAAAAAATGTCCGGCCGCTTTTCAGACGACCAGAAATGTTCAAAGGCCACCGGATTCTGGCGATTCCGCTCAGGACATCTTCCCAACAAAAAAGTCCGGTCCCATGCATGTTGCCCGAAAGTTGCGTTCTTGCTCGGGACTTCCTGCAAGTCATGCTTTCTTGTCTCGGCGTGGGCGATTCTACACAGATGCTGCTGCTTCCAGTGCTCAGCGCCTTGCGGTGCCTTTTCCGGTGTTCGGCGCGCGGGCCTGTCGCGGGGTCGTCTCGGGAGCCACGGTCCCGAAGCGAAGGCCCAGGAACGATCACGATCGAGGGTTGAAGCTCGCGGCCCCATCTGATAGCGGCGATGCAGGGGAGCCCGCAGGGACGCGCCGGACTGTTTTTCTGCAAGGGGGTGGTTCTCCAGAACAGTGAAACAATTGTCGCTTGACGGCTTCTGACAACAAAGATTTGGAATATGCTCAGACTTCTGGTTTGAACTCTGTAGGAGGTCGTGCCCGACCTCATCCGAAGAGCGCTCGGAGCCCTGCCGTGGTGCGGATCGTTCCGCCCATCTGCCGTGACCACCTTCGGCGGCACGCAGCCGCCCCGCGACACCCAGCGAGGGCGATCCTCCTCCCTCTCCCCCGTCCTCCCTCCCTCCTCTCTCCTCTCCCTCCTCCCCCTCCTCCTCCTCCCCCTCGTCCTCCTCCTCCTCCTCCTCCTCCTCCTCCGCCCTCCTCCTCCTCGTCTTCCTCCTGCTCCTCCTCCTCCTCCTCCTCCTCCGCCTCCTCCTCCTCCTCCTCCTCCTCTCCTTCTCCTCCTGCTCCTCCTCCTCCTCCTCCTCCTCCTCCTCCTCCTCCTCCTCCTCCTCCTCCCCCTTCTACAGGAGGAAGATTCAAAAAGACCCAGCACAATTGGGGAGACCCATGCCAAGACACACCCTGCTTGCCCTCCAAAACAAATCCCCTCGGCGTCGTTTCACATGCTGGCAGGGAGCTCGGACGGCAGCAGCCAGATGGAGTGTGGGATGCTCCCTGGGGGAAGCTCCACTGGGGTCCCCGCCGAGCGTGTCCGCCAGGTCTCTGCTGGACGGCCCTCCTTTCCCGAGGACCCGCTCCGCATCCGGATTCAGAAGCGGGCTCCTTTCGGAGACTGGCGCTCGGATTTTTCGACGGCCAGCTGGCCGCCCCTCGCCGTGCCCCGAGTGCGGCCGTCCGCACTCGAGCCCAGCGCCTGCAGCCCCTCACAGGCCGCACGGTGCGGCGCGGGAGCATCCTCCCCTTCCCCCGCGCCCGCGCGCCCCTCCGGGGGACACAGACACTTGTTTTGCAGTTCGAGCCCGCCTGGATGGCGCGGGCGTCGGCGCAACAGTCGACCAGGGCCTTCCTCGTCCCATCCCTTCGTCTCCTTCCCTCCCTCCTTCCCTCCCTCGTCCCCCCCCCCACACACACAAATAATTCATCGGCCGGGTGGCGCAACTGTGGGCTCCGCTGGTAGCCATGGTGTTAGCGGGGAGCCGTCGCTGGGTCTTGCGTACTGGCCCGTTTTGGGCAATCGCCCATGCTTTCGCCGAGTGCGCGTCAGTCAGCACAGCTGTTGCATTGTGTTTTGTATGTGCTGGTGATGACACGCGCCGTCGTTTCTGGGGCGGTTCTGGCTCTGCGCGCAACATCTCGAGAGGTATTCGCACGTTTTGCCTTCGACATCGAGATACCCAGATGTAGACAAGGGTTTTGCGGCTTCGGTCGATCGTCTTGTCACGGATCTTCAAGGCTTCGGACTCGTCATTTCTCGTGCGTGTGTGTGTGTGTGTGTGTATGTTGTCCTTGTATTTCTCCTCTTCGTCATCCTCCTCCCCTTCCCCGTCTGCCCTTCCGCGCTCGCATCGTCATTGTACACTTTATTGCGTTAGCTTGCCTATGGAAGGTTGGCGCGGTCCTAGATTGCCTGGCGATCTTCTGCTTTACGTTGCTGTGCCAGTCACGCCACAGTGAGATTCAGTGGTTGCGCGCTCCCCACATCTCCTCTCCTTCCGGACACCAATTTGTAGTGAAATTCCAAGGATGCACGTGCGTTTTTCTTTAAGGGTGGCACTGCGGACGAAATCCACACAAAATGGTAGCTGGTCGGACGGGGACAGGACGAGAAACCATCCGTTCCAGAGCGTTCCGGAACGCTCTCAAACCGTGTCGGAACGCTCTGAGAAGGCCGCGGCGCCCGATGCATCCTCCAGAGCCGCCGGATGTCAGAGTTTTTCGATTCATACTCACCTGATGTCATCCTCGTCTTGGCTTCGTCGTAGTTTGTGGCCGCAGTGTTTTGATGGTCGACTCTGTGCCCCGTCGTCGTCAGCCGCAGCAGCATCGCTGGGGATCGGACAGCGAGAACGACGCGGCCCCAACTCGGACGTCGGCTTCGGTTTCGGGTCGCGCTGTGCGTGCGAGCGGTCCATCTCCAGCGCCATTTCGTCGCGACGTTGGCCGCGGAGGATCTCGACCCCCTCCCCGTTCAAAGAGAGTGTTTTTTTACCCTCTGGGCCATAACGCGCGCTATGCCTCCTACCCTCCCCCGCTACCCCCACCCATCACACAACGCTCCCCCGCTCAGTGCGTCCCCGGCCCTGCCGCAGTGCGTCAGTCACTACATTATGTCCCTTCCCGCCCCCCCCCCCCAAAACGCCCGGTATGGCCGAGAATAAAACATGCGGTGAAGGCCTTGTGTGTTCTTCCTCTGGGGCCTGGCGAGGTCACCCGACGGACGGAAACGGCGAAAAAAACCCGTCTTGAATTCTGCAATATGTTGGGGGCCTGGGTCTTGCAGGAGGCCAACCCCGCCTCCCAGAAACCTCCGACGTCGGGTTCCCAACCTCGAGCCCAGAGCCCCGACGTCATGTTCTTTTCACCGCGTGGACCCTCGCAGGTCTCGACCCGTTTCCCTGGACTGGCTTATGATCCCGAGCCGTCTTTCGACGGGCTTGGGGCCCGGCGAAGGCCCCCAGCTAGAGGTTGAAAATCTGATAAGCCCCCCCATAAATAACCGCCGCGATTCGTCCACGACGCGAAGGGGTCTAAAAAAACCCTGCGAAGAGCCCCTGGAGGCCGAAAGTAGCAAAACACAAGATTCCCCTACGACGTTTGGTCGAACGGCGCCTTGGGCCCGAAGCGAATGCCCACATCTTCCTCGCGACAGACGCGTGCAGAAACCACAGCCCAGCAGCTCGCACTGCCCCCAGCAGTTCAGAAACATACAGTGAGCGGCTTGAATAAGGAACACTTACTTTTCAAAAGGGGCTCGGTCGTTCCTTAGGCTTGCATGCGTTATTTACAGTTCCTTATGCGTTATGTATTGTTTATCGTTCCTTACGCGTTATTCCTTAGGGTAAAAAGGGGCTTCGTTCCTTATTTATCGTTCCTTAGGTCAGGCCGATGACTGTACATTCGAGGCCCCTCCTGACGACGGAGCTGGTCCCCTCTGAGCATGCGGACCGCAGCCCTGGACCCAGACCCACGGGGAGACAAACATGCGAACCCAGACCCTCGAAGTCATGACTTTGTCATAACTCAGGAGGGAACAAAACACACAGACACAATTTATCGCCGATTCCCAGGAAAATATTGGAAGATATGGTAAGTGGGGGGGAAGACAGGAACCCAGAAAATATAGAAAAATATATGGAATAATTTTACGTGTGTGTATTTATTTGGGTGTCCCAGGGCCCCTTCAATAACGTCGACCCCTGAGATCTCAACCCGTTCCCCAGGACCAGTTTTTCATCCCGAGTCCCTTTTTCGACGGTCCCGTGGCCCCGTCAGGGCCCCTAAGGGCCGAACATGGTGAAAAACCTCCCGTCATGTTTTCTCCGCTGCTCGAGGGGGTTTGGGATGGCTGCTCCCGAAGGACGGCCGCCGCGGCGCCAACGGCGCCCGCCGGCGCTCCCGGCGGCGTCGTGCGCTCGGCGTGCTCGTCGGCGGGGGCGGCGCAGCCCTGCTCGGCCCGCGCCGCGCCGGACGCGGTGTGCGCCGGCGGCGCGGCGCCCTCGGCGCGGGGCGCGACCTCGGCGAGGTCGATCAGGCGCCCTCGCCGCCGCGGCGTCGGTCGTTGGCCAGGGAGCGGCCTCCAGAAATCGGAAGCTGGCGGGAGACGGCGCCTGGATCTGTAGGCTTGCGTCGGGCATGTTCCTCTACAGGAGGAATGTCCAAGAATAGGCAAAAAATAGTCTGGGGACGATGTTTTGACTATTTTTGAGCAGGGTTGATTGATTTGACTATTTATCATATTTCGTCCAAAATCTGCTTGTACTGGAGGTTGATAGAACTCCTACCCTGACACGTCGATCAGCGAATTGGAAATTTTCGGATCGCGAGAGGGGGCCGCGGCCGTCATCTGTGCGGGTCCATGTCCGTCGGTTTCGGTCCCAGTCCGCTTTCACCAAAGGGAGGTTTTCGGGGGTGGGCAGAACCCCCAACAGTGACACGTCGATTAGTGAATTGTCCTTTTTCGGTTCTCGAGAGGGCGCCGCGGCCGTTATTTTCCAGGCTCGCGCCCGCCAGGTTTGGGCCTCAGGTCGTTTTCACTAAACCACGTTTTACTAAAGGGAGGTCTGCCCATCCCCGAGGTCTACTGAAGGGAGGCTTGGCCACCGCCGAAGTGGATCTCCGAGCAGCCACCCGTGCACGACGCTGCGAGGACAACAGCACGAGCGATCTGCGACGGGCCTGGGCCGCTGGGCGCACATCGAGCGGTCGTCATCACCTAGGAGCGGGCACATGTTCCACTAGCTTTCAGCTACATAGGAGTGGGCATATGTTCCACTAGCTTCCCAGGAGGAGTGTGCAAACATAGTCAAAACAACTTAAGGGGGGTTACCACTAGCTTGCATCTACATAGGAGCGGGCATATGTGCCACGAGCTTCCCAGGAGGAGTATTTAAACATAGTTTAAAAAAGCTGAAAGGGGTTACGAAAGGGAGGTTTGCCCGCCGCCGACGGTAGGAGGACGTGCCCGTTGGCTGGGCAGCGGCCTCCAACGGTCGGAAGCTGGCGGGAGGCAGCGCCTGGAGCTGCGGTCCCCTCCTTCGAGCGTGTTTTTGTGTCTGCCCGGTGGGCCATGCATCGCGCGTGATGCCCCCGAACCCTTCCCGCCCTCCCCCCCCCCCTTCTATCCTCCCTAATACCCCTCATCCCCCCTCCTCCTCCTCCTCCTCCTCCTCCTCCGCCTCCTCCTCCTCCTCCTTTTCCTCCTCCTCCTCCTCCTCCTCCTCCTCCTCCTCCCCCCTCCTCCTCCTCCTCCTCCTCCTCCCCTCCTCTCCTCCCCTCCTCCTCCTCCTCCTCCTCCTCC